TTTTTTTCATATTTTTGGACGAGCTATCCAGATCCTGAAGTCCTGCGCATATATTATGTAATACCCTGTATACCTATTACCACAATTATTAAAACAAAAAACGCTACATATTTGGTTTGTGCGAATATATTTACAAGTTTTCAAACAGAACCTGAAGAATAAGATACCGAACGAACCTTGACTTTTTATAAAAGCTGATGTATATCGATAATGAAAGTGTTTGCGGACACATACTTGTAGAAAAAAGTCTCATTATTTTGACATGAAAAATAAGTCCCTGAAATCTTGATACTGAATTTTGAAACACCCTGTATAGTTCGGGTTAGTATCTACTTCAAAATACTAAATGCAATATCATATGTTTCACTGGAACAGGCATATTTTCCAATTAATGTATTATTTCGTCACATTTTGAAAACGTTTTTTTCCTCATCAAATACATCTTAATCGATTAATATTTGTTATCAACATCAGTAAGTTTTTCATGATTTAACCATATTTGATTATCAGATCCAAATAGTTAATATTATTCAAGTATGTTTTCAAAAGGATTTCCGTGACAAGGAAGTTCACGTACGTGTAGCGTGTAGACACTACTATTTCGTCACAATATCGTCATAACATAAGGTGCATGTGAGCTGTTTCTGGTTATATATGACTAAAATCATTTTATTTTTCCATAAAAATTGACGATAGAACGTTTAACCTACTTTTCGCGAAACATTGGTGAGTAGAGGTGCTGCCAAAATTTCATAATCCAATAATAATATACAAAAATGTAGGTATATAGGTTATAGTAGGTAGGTACCTATACTATGAAACCTATTTTGAAAAATACCTAACCTTTATATTTATGTATATATATCAGGAGGAAGTTTGAATTATAATTCAATAGCGAAACATTCTTGTAGAGTTCATTTCAATTCATCTCAATATATCGCGGTTAGCAGTCATTCTATTTTGAATCATCGATCATTTCCGCAATAATAAAATCAACAACTTGACTAGGTAGGCAATATAGATATATAGGCAACATACATTGCTGCTATACATTCTCGGTACCTATACAGTGTGTGTTTCCCGCTCAAGTGTAGGTATAACCAATTAACCATCACCTTCGTATAAATAACGATTCGATTTCTTTTTTCAAAATGTACTCAAAAAGACCTACCACTGGTGGTGGCCTATTTGAATAATTAAGTTAGACATTTCATATCATTCCTGGTCTCCTGTGATCAAAATTAAGGTATTAAAAAAAATTGTTAATAAAATAATTGAATATTCCAATTTGAATCTACCGCAATAGAGACCGTATCTGATGAAAAAAAATTATATACAATCAGTTCTTCAGTTACCTATATCAAGAGAGTATTATTGAAAAAATCTCTCAAATGTCATCTTATTATCGGAGATAATTCACCTTCTAAATTTTTTCGCACCTATCCACCATCAACGCCCTTTATAGATGATAGATATTTCTCCAAAATGAAAGATTTGTAAAAACACAAACGATAAGATTTCCACAAAATTCTCAAACACACATGTTTCGCTAATACTAGATTGTAGATTGTAGATGGGTCGTATAGGCTGGGAGACCTCTCGATCACTGCGACCTAGAAGGTCTATTGTGATTACCCCTATCTAGTTTTGTTCCTCTAACCCTAGACTTCTGATGAAGCCATACGATTTTCCTGACGGTTGAATTTTCCACTTCAGCAGGGGTGAGATAGACCTGTTCAAGGTGGTTCTGCCTTTGGCGGACTAATACTTCACATGAGCAAAGTATGTGTGCCGCGGTTTCGGTCGCATTGTTACAAAAGCGGCAAGTGTCAGTCTCCGCCGGTTCTCTTTGGCTCGGTTCTGCGAATGGTTGATGAACCTTTTCGCTTGTCGTTGACCTGGAGTTGCTCTCCAGTAGGAGGTCTTTTCAATGTCTTCCCCTTTCCTGAGTTCTCCCTTTAGGTGACATTTGCTTATCCCACAAAAAGGCTCAGGACCAAAAAGTGCAGATGCTGCACCTTTTTTTGCAAGGCGATCAGCTGCCTCATTTCCTTTGATTCCTTCATGCCCTGGAACTCACATAAGTGTGACTTTGTTGTCCTTTCCCAGTCGCATGAGTGTTTCAAAGCAGTCTCATGTAATCTTTGCTAATACAGTAGCTTCGTCAGGTGATATATACTGGTACAATGAACTAAACTACCCTTAGCTTGCTGAACTTATATATCCTACTTTCCCAACCTGAAGGATTAGTTTCTTGTGGATAGGACCTTCATTTTCAAAATACGCACAATATCTACATCAAAATACGGTGTTCCGGAATAACATGAAAGGATTGATAGCAAATACATATTATATTACCTACTAAGAAAACAAATTCAACAGTGTTGAACTATTGAGGTCTAATTGACTGTTGAGTAAAATGTCAGAATTTTTGAGTTTCTTGATTTCTATAATGATTCAAAATGATTGAGTTTCATTCCTTTATTTTCTACGTGTAGAATTTCGAAATTATAATTTTTTTCTAATGTATGGTTGGCGTGTGTTGAATATGTTTTCTTTTTTGAGAAATTCACCTTATATTCGTGCATGAATGCGCTGGATTGAACGTACGACCTGTCTGACCGATATATACCTTAGGACAAGATCCACAGTTGAGTTTGAATACCCTCGATTTTTTATTTTTTGAGAAATTCACCTTATGTTCATGAATGCGCTGATTAAAAGTACAACCTGTCTGACCTGAAAAATTAGGGGTATACAAACTCAACTGTGGATCTTGTCCTAAGGTATATATCGGTCAGACAGGTCGTACGTTTAATCAGCGCATTCATGAACATAAGGTGAATTTCTTAAAAAATAAAACCAATTCGACATACGCCAACCATATATTAGAAGAAAACCATAGTTTTGATGATTAATTTATTGTACCAGTATATCACCTGACGAAGCTACTATGTTAGCGAAACATGTCGTGTGTTTGAGAATTTTGTGGAAATCTTATCGTTTGTGAAATTTTTACATTTGCCATGGACTTCCATCAAGTAACGGCCGAGTCAATTAAAAACAATACATGGAAGATTCACGAAAATATTCAATATCAAATTCATTGCTTGATTGTTGCAGTTCATTTGAAAATAAATGACCCCGCACGAAAACACGGGAAATTGGCTCTCGGTCGAATTGGCTGAAATTTTACTATGTTGTTGTGGGATGGCTCATTAGAAAAATATGTGAGTTTAAAAAGTTTTGTATGTTTAGTTTCTGAGATATAAGCCGACAAAGTTCGTAAAAACATCGTATCGGGGTAGGAAATTGACAAAGAAAAAATAACTGTTTTCTTAGTATAAATAAGACAAAATAAGCTAGAAAATGTATTGATCGGAACTCAAATATATGTCTAGTTATGATAACATGAGTTATAGTAAATCAGGGTGTATACGAGGCACGGTCAAAAAATTCATTTTACGGAAAAAAAATTCGAGCACTATTCCAAAACCAACAAGTTATATTTTGGTGGGACATTATAGTTTCAGTCTATTGTAGGCTTCAAAAACGTATTTTCATTCTTGATAACTATCTCTGTTCGAAATATGAATGCTTTGAATTTTGTGTTATACCCCTTTTGGAAAACAATTGACAGCTTGTTTTTGATCACAAAAAAAGGGATTGATTGAACCTGTTGATTTAATAAAAGCTGAGGTAACTCACTAGCGAATTCAGTTGTTCAATATTGCTGTTCGTTTAGATACAGGGTGTGTTAGATTTTGTTGAAGATTATTTAACATGTTTCAATAGAATATCTCGAAAACATTTCCGTTAATTTGGATCTCATTTTACTGACACTATTTTGAATATGGTGACTATCATATGCAAAAAGTTTTTCAATTTTTGATGTTTCGTTTCTGAGATATCAATTTTTGAGTTTACAGTATTTCAGGTATTATGTTATTGCCTCGGATATTATTATCGATTCAACAGAACTTTAGGGAATTTTTCGAACATTCAATTACTTTATATGAAACTATTATAGAAATCAATAATTTTTTACTATAAACAACACGAACCACATTGAATAACAATATGAAACTCAACAGTATGGATTCCGTAAAGTTCTGTTGAATCGATAGTAATATCCGAGGTAATAACCCTATAATACCTGTAATACTGTAAACTCAAAAATGCATATCTCAGAAACGAAACATAAAAAATTTAAAAACTTTTTGCATATGATAGTCAACATATTCAAAATAGTGTGAGTAAAATGAGATCCAAATTAACGGAACTGTTTTCGAGATATTCAATTGAAACATTTTAAATAATCTTCAACAATATCTAACACACCCTGTATCTAAATGAAAAGCAATATTGAACAACTGAATCCGCTAGTGAGTTATCTCAGCTTTCATTAAATCAACAGGCTCAATCAATCTCTTTTTTTGTGATCAAAAACAAGCTGTCAATTGTTTTTCAAAAGGGGTATAACACAAAATTCAAAGCATTCATATTTCGAACAGAGATAGTTATCAAGTATGAAAATACGTTTTCGAAGCCTACAATAGACTAAAACTATAATGTTTCACCAAAATATAACTTGTTGGTTTTGGAATAGTGCTAGATTTTTTTCCGAAAAATGAATTTTTTGACCGTGCCTCGTATACACCCTGATTTACTATAATTTATGTGATCATAACTAGACATGTATTTGAGTTCCGATCAATACATTTTCTAGCTAATTTTGTCTTATTTATACTAAAAAAACAGTTTTTTTCTTTGTCAATCCTACCCCGATACGACGTGTTTACGAACTTTGTCGGCTTATATCTCACTAACTAAACATACAAAACTTTTCAAACTCACATATTTTTTTAATGAGCCATCCCACAATAACATAGTATAATTTCAGCCAATTCGACCGAGAGCCAATTTTCCGTGTTTTCGTGCGGGGTCCTCTAGCTTAGCAACTTTTTCAGGTACCTACCTACACTAAATCAAACAGAACTATGGACTTCATTACTGGTGGTTTGGCTGCTGGTGGTGCTTCGATATTCAGCAACCCCTTCGACGTTGTGAAGACTCGCATGCAGTTACAAGGTGAACTAGTTGCAAGAGGTACACACCAAGTGCATTACAGAAATGTGGCGCATGCCGGATGGGTAATATTCAAGAACGAGGGTTTTAGGGGCCTGCAAAAAGGCCTCTCAACAGCTATACTGATGCATATGATCAGAAACAGCACACGATTAGGTATATAAGGTATAATACTCAGACTAAATAACAATAGCTATAGACATCTAACAGTTGAGTATTTATACACCAAGTCTGTTATAGTTATTTATGTACAGGGTGCGCCTCTTAAAATGGAACCCCCCCTTAACTCATTTGTTTTCGGAGATATGAAAAAATGTTGAATAAAAAAGTTGTTTGAAACGACCCAAACTTTTATTTCGTGAAGTTGTTTCATATACAGGGTCATTCGTTTTTCCAGAAAGAACATCAACTTCGATTTTTTCAATGGAACACCCTATATATTTTCCGTCATGTCGATAGAGCTTTTTTTTCTGATTCCAAAAATATATATGAGTTGCATATTCGGATGAAGAATGATTGAGCTCTTGATGATCAAAGTTGACATCAAAATACCGCTTCATGAATTCTCACTTTATATCATATTTGAACATAGTGGGCTTTGAAAAAATATTCATGGAAAAGTCATTATGTGGATAGATTTGGTATCACACTATAACAGTAACGCATGCGTAGATGTCGAAATAGCATCAAGAGTTCTTGACAACAAAAGTTGAATGAATCATTATAAACAATATTTATTAAATGAACTATATGAGATTGTGAATACACATGCATTAGAGCTATCTACAACAAATTTTCAAAATTCCGCCATTCTGGTCAATGCAGAGTTGGCACCTTGCTATAAAATTTTGGCGAACCCTTTCAAATAATATTGGATCATTATTCAATAATTGAATTTCTTCTGTTTTTTTTTTATCTCTCAAGAAGTCAGTATTCGGAATATCATGTTTATAGATCTTGTCTTTCAGCGCTCCCCACAGGAAAGAATCACAAGACGTCAGGTCTGGGCTACGGGGCGGGTAAAATATCAGTCCTCGCATTCCAATCCAAGTGTCATAACTCTCATTGAGGTAGTTCCTGACTTCAATTCCATTGTGAAAAGGTGCACCATCCTGCTGCCATACCAATTGGTTTCGTCTATTCAAAGGGATTGCTTCATCAAGCAAGTTTTCAATATCACCTTGCAACATATCCAAATATTTTGCCCCGTAAGACTGCCATCAATGAAGATGAGACCAGCTATGCTCATTTTTCCTATTGAACATTCCTGCAGTCGAAAATGAACACTCATCCGTGAATAAAATATTCTTATATTAGTGAAATTTTCATCGCGATTATGTCTTTCAATTATTTCATAACAAAATCGTAAACGATTTGAATGATCTTGAGGAAAAAATAATTCACTGGCATTACTTTGTATGGCTTCATATGATGCTTCTTCAAAACTCGTCTCACACTTGTCGTGGATATATTGAAGTAATTTGCAACCATTCTTGTCGAACGACTTGGGTCTTCAATGAAATAAAGTAATATATTTTCCTCTGTCTCTTCTGAGTTCCGTTTTTTTGCCGATTCCTCTTCATATCACCCAAATTACCACTATGTCGCCTGAACTTCTCGAAGATCCTCTTGAAGGTATTCAAAGATGGAAGCGGTCGATCACCAAACCGATGCGCATATTCTCTACGAGCAGCGGTTGCATTTTTCCCGCAAGGAATGTATATTTCCAAAATTTCGCATCTTTCATTCAAACTGTAACCCATTTTTTTTTCTATAGAAATCGAACGTTCTCAATTTCATAATAAACATGGAGCTCAAACAATTTATAAACATTATTTCAAAGCCCACTTTGTTCAACTTACCTACATTAGATGATATTACCTATGAAGTGAAGGTTCATAAAGCGGTATTCTGGTCAACTTTGATCATCAATAACTCAATCATTTCTCATCCGAATATGCAACTCATATATATTTTTGAAATAAAAAAAAAATCTATGATGAGTGGGCATGGTGTGAATCTTGTGTTTTCTGAATTTTTTCATGACCTGACAACGTTGCGCTCTTCGGCAATCTTCGTAATCGTCGACATGAAGGTGGGCATGGTAGGAATTGGGCATCGTGGGAATTGGGGATCATGGGAATTGGGCATTGCGCTCCGCACCCTTTATCACTCTAAGGAAATGCAGTCAATGCAACCAAAAATGTATCACCAGAGAAATCCTGACAAGGAGTACAAACTATTTATTCAATGGAAATTGAAAAATAAAATTATTGCCATGAGCGGTCGTCCACAACACCTGCTCATAACGCCCTAGGGCGTGAACCAAAACCAAAAATAGAAAAAAAATCAACTTCAACCCCATGTGTCTTTTCCAATATACTCAAGCTTATTTTTTCGAATCTATTTCATTCCATCAGTTTACGATATGTGTATTATATTGATATTTTCAATGAGAGGAATAACACACATCAATATATTTTATGTAGGTATCTACCAGACGTTGTACAAAAATGGTCACCTGACAAACGAGAAAGGAAAAACGATATTCCATAGAAGCGCATGTGCCAGTGCATTCTCTGGGGCTGCTGGCGCATTTCTGGGGAGCCCCTTTTTTCTAGTCAAAACTCAGTTGCAGTCTCAGTCTGCAGAAACAATATCCGTGGGAACTCAACATGGACACAAGGGAGCACTTGCTGCATTCAACAAAATTTATTCCAATGAAGGGGTGAGTAGATAATAAGGGTCAATTTCAACAGGTTCTCATCAGAAGCCCTCCATATGTTCTCTGCTAGCTAGTTTTCTCTCAAACAGGTTTCTCCATGTAGTGGTCGACGGAGTTTTCATCTGACTCTCTTATCATAATTGCTGGTGTTCCGCAAGGATCAACATAAATATGGACTTGGCAACAATTCTCGAATGGGGATCCAATAACTTGGTAGATTTCAATGCAAACAAAACACAAGCATGCCTTTTCTCTAGAATTCTCACTGTGCCAAACATAAGCATGCCAGGAGTAACCATACCTTTGAAGACATCAATTTCGATGCTTGGTATTACTATCAGCAATAACCTTTCTTGGGAAAATCACGTGAGATCAATTGCTAAAAGTGCATCCCAAAAACTTGGTTTCCTGTTTCGGGCCATGAGCTATTTCACTTCCAGTCAGCTGCTCATGATCTATAAGGCACAGATCCGACCTGTCCTGGAATACTGCTCCCATATTTGGAGTGCAGCACCCAAACATACCCTGAAACTGTTGGATTCTGTACAAAGAAGGGCAATTCGTCTCGTGGGTGATGCCTCGCTCACAAGCTCACTCTTTTCTCTGGAACACCGTAGAGAAGTTGGCGATCTGGCTCTATTTTATAGATACTTCCATGGACGATGCTCTTCTGAAATATCAACAATTGTTCCTCCCTTGGCAGTCCCCGCGAGATTAACCCGTCGAGTTGAGGCTTCGCACACTTTCGTGGTCACTTTGGAGACCTGCAGAACATCTCATCCAACGAACAGCAAGGCTCTGGAACATATTGCGAAGGGAGGTGTTCCCCGAGGCATATAACCTCCAGAAATTTAAGAAGAACACCAATTCCTACCTTATTTCCCTTGGTTCTCACGATGTTCTCTGAACATTACAGGATATCTATTTTCGTGGACCTACACGTCTTCTTATTCGATTGATGAAGCATATCTTTCTGATACATGCTTACTAGAAAAGTGATGAAGCCTTTGAAAATGGTAAAAAGTGGAAAAAATCATAGTAGGATGAAATCCATTGGAAAAGAAAGATAATATCACGAAAATGAAAGAAAAAATAATTCACGGGCCATTTGAGGTCGGGAAGTGGAAGGGACGAGCTTTTAGGGACAAAAACGGCTAATCTCGATTTCTGGCAAAACTTGAAGTCCTAAGGAAAAAAGTTAAATGGCAATGTTGTAGGTAAAAAAAAGATCGATAAGTTTTTTCCCTACACTTTTTCCATAACCTCAGAATTTATTTACCTTTCACAAAGAAAAAATGATTTTACGAAATTTGGTGAAAACTTACCTCTTTATGTCCCAAACACACTGTAATTTTTTTGATTTGGAATATCCATTTTTTCACCTTATTTTGATTTGATATCGAAAAAGCACCCTAATTTTCAATCGAAAATTCTCGCGTCAAAATATCTGCTTTTTCAAAAAGGTTGATGGGCTTTTTGTTCGTTGAAATCTCTACTTTCTGATTTTACCTATAAAAATTCACCCCACTTCCCGACCTCAGATCGCCCTAAATTTATTTTTTCCACCACTAGCTATAGAACCTGCCATTATTTACTCTTTTTGGAGGCGTTAAGTGTGTTTTTCCTACCAAGGTAGTTTTCGTCATTTTATGAACCAGTAGTCAATAAAGACCGAGATAAAGACATATAACAACTTCTGGCTGAAGCCTCGGGATATAATCTAGGTCCCTGGGTGATAATGATATTCTTTACTATACCTTGCTGTACAAATAACTATTCCTTTCATCTTCGATATATTCTCTTCCTCATGAATTCACTCGTATGGCCATCGAACACCAACTTGTCTGAAAGTTGGTATGACTCAGAAACATTGCTGGCATTTTCTCAGATGATAGATTCATGAGCCATTTATTTCGGACCCTTACATAGATCACCTTGCATATACACTGGTTCATTATCAATAATGATATCACTACTGTCTGTAGGTAAATGGAGGAGGTGGTGCATTCATTTTTCCAGATTTTTTGGGATGTTCTCTCCTCGTCTCTATAAAATGAAAATATGAATACTATTCCAATATACGTGTAGTAAGGACAAATCAGATGATTTGCCACAAAATGTCACTGCGTTTGAAGAAGATAACAACCAGAAGAGAAAAATCAAGGAATCTGCTTGCATTCTTCTGAACGGAGACAATAGCATTGCTTCCTGTTCAGTTGATATAGATAATTCACTGCTGAAATCTGACAATGAAAGTGGTAAATTCAAGATTAATGAAAACATCCTGTAACTCATTTGATTGCCAACGTCACCAATTATCACTGAGAACTGAAACGTGTCAGGACGAATACGAATTTTTTGATGAAAACGGGAGCAGATTCGTTCCCTAAACGTCCAAAGATAAATAAAAATTTGATATTTTTTCTATATACCTTTATTTCTCTTCTCCAAACCTTTTTCAATACAAATTGTCACTGACAAGCTAGTGAATTTTTCTTTTAGGCTCTCTGATAGGAAAATTTTTTATAAGCAGTGACATTTTGGGGCAAATCATCTGATTTGTCCTCACTACACGTATATTGAAATAGTATTCATATTTTTATTATATAGAGACGAGAGAGAATCCCCAAAAAAAACTGGAATAATGAATATGTACCACCTTCTCGATTAACCTACAGGCAGTATTTAAGGTTTTTACTGATGGAATAAAAAACGAACTGGCAACTCTGGTCTGCGCGAAGAGTGAATTGACAACAACTGCCATTTGCTGTTGTCAAATAAATTATACACGAAATTTCAGGTGTGAATAGGGCCGTGATGTGGATATATGTGTTTGAGGTCGACGAAAAAATGTAATATGCACCTCGGCGAAAAACTGTCTATTGTCTCGCCTGATTGCTGCAATTTGCAGACTCAACTATAATAGACAGTTTTCGTCCTTGGTACATGAATAACTATTTTCCAGTTTTTCGGTCTATGGAGAGGCGTCAATGCAGTGATGCTGAGAGCAGTAGTCGGATCATCTGCGCAGCTAACTTCTTTCGCGATGTGCAAAGACCTTCTCGCAGAAAACGACTTCCTGAACAGCATCCCCCTGCTGAATTCTTTCGTGTCCAGCATCATCAGCGGGGTGTTTCAGTGCCTGCTGATGAATCCGTTCGATTTGGTATCCGTGAGGCTCTACAACCAGGCTGTCGACAAGCACGGAAAGGGGCTTTTGTACGACGGATTGCTACACGCTTTCGTGAAAATATACAGATCCGAGGGGGTTATGGCGTTTTACAAGGGCGTGGGGGCGAACTATATGAGGCTGGCGCCCCATGGGGCTCTGTGTTTAGTGTTCTGGGACGTTCTCAAAGACATGCAGGCCAAGTATTGGGATAACAAGTTGTAGGAAAATGATTGGCGGTGTGTGTGATTTGAATCATGAAACCTTGGTGTTTTGGAAAGCGGCGTATTCGAACGAACATTAAACTTTTGGGCCAGTACTTTTTGAGATGTATCGGAAAATGTGAACGAATTCTTGATAATCAAACTTTTCATTGTGGTTTTGATGAAAAAAAAAAAAAACAGTGGATAGCATATTCTCAAATACCTACCTATAAAAGAAGTTGGAAGGAAGTATCTCATATGTATAGAGTGTTTTTCATTGTGAGCGATTTTTAAATTTGTTTTCTCTTTTAATCGAAAAGTATGGAATAAATTCGATATTTCCTAAATTGAAAGTCTTATAAAAAACCGAAACACGCCGGTTTTTAATTTCAATGTTCTGCATTTCACATCAACATTTCATTATACAGGGTTATTTATGTGAATATATTACCCTGTATTTTTTGAACCCACGTCATCATCCTTTTTTTTTTAAATTGCCGATGATGTCATCACCTTAATGTATATCAACCTGTGTAATTTCATTGTAAAGTGTAGAACATTAGAATTAAACATTTTTTAATATACCTCAAGACATAGAGTCGGGTAAACTAACAGTTAAAAAAATTATAACTACTCAAAAAATCATCTCTCTCCATATCGTCGGCGATCTGACAATACCTGCTAAGTAACATTTTTTCAAATATTGGTATTTCACGCAGTTATAGCTTTCAATATTCATTGCGCACAATCTGAAATGAACTGCTACCTACAGATGAATCCTTTGTTTACTTCATTGAAGGAAAACAATATCTGCTATCGACTTGACCTGTTACTTGATTATGTTTTATTCATCTCTTGTGAAAAAACCTGCTCTGCACTATATTGCACTTAGCAGGTATTGTCAGTTCGCCGACGATATATAATACAAGCTCCCAAAGAACCGTTTCAGGCATTTTCGATAAAAAAAATCAGGTTTTTCCATTATCTCAAAAACTGACATGTACAGTCGTTTTCAGAGATCATGTCGCGGTTGAACGGTGTCAGCGCTCTTATTGCAGGAGTTATTAGGAATGCAGTCATCGTCCATGTGCGACATGTTTTCTGAAGACGACTGTACACTGCATCTCATTTTGGTTGAGACTGACAGATTTCTCGGTTATTATCAAGGATATTACCTTGGGGTTTTCGCGTTCTAGTCTTAGTTTTTTTGTGATTTTTGAAATTTATATTTGAAAATTGCAAGACTATATTTAATTACAACCGAGAATCCTGGCAGTCTCAACCAAAATTGGATACACTGTATAGTCAGTCCAATATACGAAGGTATGACCGTCTAAAACTGATAATATTATGAATAATTATTCAACTATGGGGGCCATCACCACAATCTAATCCTAAATAAGTACCTGCAGTGAACAATGTGATTTTTCCACAATCTTACCTCATGATATTATTGAATAACATTTTAGAAAATTTATATTATGTCGTACTGCCATTTTTAGCTTCTAGTTAGTCAAGTTTATACAGAGTATTTTAAATACAGTATTCATTCATTTTACAATGAAGTGTGTGAATATACCAAACAATAAAGAGATTTTATTAACTTCATTGGTTTTATTTATTTGTATCATCCCCATCATCTTTACGAAAAGAATACTTACACAAATGTATTGAAATCGTGGAATGCTAACCAACAAGTATTAAAAACCAAATTATATTCTATTAAAAAAATTGAACACAGTTCATAATTTCAACTCAGTGCTAATAACATTAATTATAATGAGTATATAAACTAAATCTAACTTTTGTCAACATATACTCGTAAGTATCAACAGTGCATAAATTTTAATAACTAAAATAACATTATAATAATCCATTTTCCATTTTCATATTTTATTCATAGTCACACCAAAAATGTTTTTGTAAGGTGTTATAATTAAACAATAACAATTTCTTGCGATTCTTTAGGAATCAAAATATAAACAGGTATAGGTAGGTATAGTCATTCCAAAGTCATTTGAAGCAGCTCCAGCGAAAACATTTTCGCACGAATTCAATCTGATCTGAAATGAAACATCTAGAGACAGGGCGCAACAAATAATCCGTGCGAAAACAAGTCACACAAACAAGTTCACAGAAAATTTCCCGTGAAGAAACATCATCGAAATATCGAATCACGATTGGCCCAACAGTAAATGCCTTCACAGTATAATCACTTCGAAAAGAAAAAAGGAAGCAATCCTCACCAAGAGGATTATTTTTTGATAGATTTGTTGTATAACATCATATTGTAGGATGCTTCATTTTAGATCAGATTGAATTCGTGCAACATTTTCAGTCTCACCAGTTGGCGTCACCTAGAGATTATCATTAGCAAAACGTGAGGTCAATGTCAAAGTCAAAAATCCCATAATTCTGCCGGATTGCCATAAAAGCTGTGGCCTGTTTCGTCGAGAATATTCGGAAAAAAAGATGTAGAAATTAGAATATTTTGACAAATAGAAAACCTCAAGTTATGGAAAGACTTGAGCAGACTTGCGTTTTTTTACTCTCATTGTGGAACTTTACGACCAATTCTTATATTGACGCAGGAAAAGATATCTTAGGAAAAGGCCAAAGGGCACCGAAAAACAAAAGGTGTATCTCTCAGTCCTACCAACTCTGACCTCACATGTCAGTAGTGCGATCTGGTGGATAATAAATAGTGTTCGCCCTCATTCAAAACTACCATGGAGGCGCATCAACTAACTTTGGAAAGACTATACTATTACAATCGAGTGGTCAACTAAAATTCATGGATTTTTTTGACTTGTGTCATTCTTTAGAATAATTGTGAGTTGTACTTGAAGTTCTGAATCTCTAGACAGTCGAAAATTCTACCAAATATTTTATCGCTGGAATAGTATATGTATATCAGAAAAGCCCTAAAATTGAGTATTTTCATAATAGAAAAAAAAAACATTTGGAATAGCCAAATTTCAAAATGTTTAAATAATGGAGATGTATGTGCAATGAAAAAAAAAACTGTTTTTTCGAACACTACAATAAATAGTGTGGGATTTCAATAGAAATATACAAAAAGCAAAATAAATATTTGACGCCACTGGTTGGTGTTCATGAATTTAAACTCTGTTTTCGTATGCTGAAACATTTGCTAAAACTGTTGGATGTGTACAGTGTGTCCAGTTTTCGATGCTTTTGCGTGATATCTCAGTTATCTTCCGAGATAGAACCTTGCGGTTTTCGCGGTCCTGTACCACTTTTATGTGAAACTCAAGATGGCCTTATCAGATTTCGCATAACTGTTTGCGTTTATGAGATACAGGGCGATTTTGAGAATTCATACTTTTTGGACCCCCTCTATATCTACGAAGTTTCTCAGCGAAAATGTCAAATTGGAATCTTATCCCATACAGAATTTTGCGCAGAATTCAGTGGCGCACTCAAATTTTTTTTTCTGGGTATGGTTTAGGAGATACGACTCAAACTTATGATTTTTTAAATGGAACACCCTGTATTTTATGAGCTCATTAAATTCCTTATTTTTTCCCCATCAAAATGAAATATGATGAATAGGTATAAAATATTCAAAAATGCTCCAAAATCACTAAAACATTTAATTTTAATTATGGGCTATGGATTTTTCATTTAAAAAAAGTTCCAATTGAAGGCATATTTCATTTGATTCTTCCATGAAAAGGACAAAAACAATCCCAACACTAGTTAATTAAGATAACACAAAAATTAGGTACCTGATAACAACAAATGAATGGTAATAAAAAGTTCATATTCTAGAATAAGCACCTGATTTAATATTCACTTAGACAATTAAATAGTAACTTATTCATTGAATTGTTCAAATTGATGTCCACTTTCCCTCAAACGCTTTCTCAATACGTCTTAATGCATTCAAAATCATTAAAGGATGTTTTTGTAATTCCTGGAAAACTGCCTCTGTTGTTGCACGAAGTTCTTCAAGATATTTGTGACTCTTACTGTATCAAGACGTATTGAGAAACTGTGTCAATTGTGTGTTATGGGAAATGGACATCAATTTGAACAATTCAGTGAATAAGTTATCGAATAATTCCGAAATTCAATTGTATTTGTAAATATTTGATCTGGTGCTTATTCTACATTATGAACTTTTCATTACTATTCATTTGTTGCTATCAGGTACATAATTTTTGTGTTTTCTTAGTTAATTAGTGTTGGTATTGTTTTTGTCCCCTTTATGGAAAAATCAAAATGAATATTCCTTCAATTGGAACTTTTTTATGAGAAAAATCCATAGCCCACTATTAAAATTCAATGTTCCAGTGATTTCAGAGCATTTTTGAAAATTTCATATACATACATTATAAATCATTTTGAAGAGAAAAAAATGAGGAATTTTATGAGCTTATAAAATACAGGGTGTTCCATTTAAAAAATCATAAGTTTGAGTCGTATCTACAAAACCATACCCCGAAAAAAAAATTTGAGTGCGCCACTGGATTCTGCGTGAACTTTTATATGGGATGCGATTTTTATTTGACATTTTTGCTGAGAAACTTCGTAGATATAGAGGGGGTCCAAAAAGTATAAATTTTCAAAATCGCCCTGTATCTCATAAACGGAAACAGTTATGCAAAATCTGATTAGGCCATCTTGAGTTTCACAAAAAAATGGCACACGACCGCGAAACCCGCAAGGTTCTATCACCAAAGATAACTGAGATATCCCACAAAAGCATCGAAAACTGGACACACTGTACACTTCAGATATCTCTCAATAAAGCAAATAGTTCGAATCGTCTAAAGATTTTTTCATTTCATTACCTAAATCAGAGGCGTCATGTCAGTGAATGCTAGGGGGGGTCAAGATACTCAGGCAAAAATTATGGCACTGTGATAATGCGCCGCAGACGGATTTTTTTTGGGTTCAAGGTCAAATGCCCTCAGATTTTGTTTTTCAGAGTGATCTGTGTATATCAAGGGGGGTCAAGAAACTCAGACATTATTTATGTATGGTAAAAAATGC